TTACCCCTCAGGGGGCATTTGGCAATGTCTGGAGACATTTCTGATTCTCACAACTTTGCAGGGGGGGGGGGGGGGGGGGGGCGAGGGGGGGGAGGGAGACTGCGGGCAGTCCTACTCAGGCTGGGGAGCCTGAGGGGGAGGAAGTGTGAGTAGGGAGGGCCAGCCTCAGCCTGTGGGGCCATGCCCCCGGCCCACCATGAACCTGGAAGGGCTGGAGATGGTCGCTGTGCTTGTGGTCCTCGCCCTGTTTGTCAAGGTCCTGGAGCAGTTTGGCCTCTTTGAGCCTGTCTCCTTGGAAGGTAACCCAGGTGTCTGGGCATGTCTGGCCTGCTGGCTAGAAGGACAGTGGCCCGCAGGGTTGGGGAGAAGATTACTCTGACTTCACGACTGGGGTGAGGGCTGCAGGGGTAAGCAGGTTAGTGATGGGATGGGACATCGGGGGGAGGGGAGTTGGGGGAACAGGACATCTGGGAGAGGCAAAGAGGGGGACTCAAGGAGTAGACCTGGGGGAGGTGAGGAGGGAATCTGGGGGATTGGGTGTCTGAGGGAGGTGAAGAGAGAGGGCCAGGAGCCAGGGAGGTGATGAGGGGGTATAGCATGGGGGGACTGGGATTGAGGATAAGGGGAAACTGGGGGGAATGAGGAAAAGTCTGGAGACAGGCAGGGGTATCTGGAATAGAGGAAGGAGGTTCCAGGAGTCCTGAGATAACACCAGACTTCTGAGGAGTCCCTTTTGGGGCCAGGGACCCACAGCGGCTCTGAAGATGTGTGTGACTCGCCACACCTCCATCCTTGCAGGCGTGGGTTACAGGGTGTGTGTGGACTCAGTGTGTGAGAGATACAGGGGGTGTGGCTGTGTGTTCATGTGTGTGAGAAAGGACAAAACGTATGACTATTTGAGCCTGTGTATGTGACAGGGGTGTGATTTAATGTGTCTGAGTGACAGAGTGTGTCGCTTTATGCGATGGCAGGTGTGACTGTGCTTGAGGGGCATGGAGTGTGTGGCTGAGCCTCTTTGGGCATCTGATTGTGTGTGTGGCTATTCCCAGAGTTCTCTGATGATATACCAGCTCCATACCCAAGGCTAGGGATGGGGTGGGTTCTGGAGGGACAGGAGTGGGATCACTGTGAATGAGACATTCATAGACAAATCTGGTAGGAGAGTGAGGGGTGGATCGGATCAGGGACCCTGCCTCCCAAGCCGCCTTGCCTCTCCCAGGTCCTCTCAGGATCTAAGGGCAGAATGGGCTCCAGAGTCTAGAGCGGGAAGTGGGAAGGCAATTCTCCACCCACCCAAAAGTCAGGTGGGGAGAGAGATACTGGAGGTAGAGAGGGGAACATGTTCTGCCTCCCCAGGGAGTTTTAGCCTCTCCCTCTTCTTCATGCCGAGACCTGTGCAGCTCCATAGCATGGCTACAGGAAAACAGGCAAGAACCATGATAAGAGGACTGCAGGGTAGACACCTGGGAGAACTGAAAAAATGTGAAAGCAGCTAGGGAAGAAGGTCCGTGAATTGCCTGCTCTAGAATTCCGTAAGAGCAGAAATCTCCTAGTCTACCCTCCATCCTCTGCTGCATTTATTGGGGTGGGGTGGGGTGGGTCGCAGGGATTGGTCCTAGATGAACTGGGATTCATCCAGTCCTGAAAAGATGAAGTCAGTCGGGCTCTAACTTTCCATCCCCTTTAGACTATTGGTGGGAAGCGGGGAGGCATCCTGTCTGCTGAAGGCACCCCCTTTCTCTTCCCACCTTTAGAGGAGCCTAGAGGAGACTGAGTCCTTGGAGCAGGCAGGGGACCAGATGGGGGGATGTGTGAAGAGGGGGAGGTTGGGAGAGGCGGGGGGAGCCATCCCCCAGTGCAGAGGCTACTACACCACCAGAGGCCCCAGGCACAATCGGCTTCGGGAAACCAAAGTCCAGGCTAATGGAGCCCTGGGCCAGAGTCCAGGCCGCCATCGATCCCTCACCCAGCTCACTGCCTCCCTCCCACCTCTCCATAGCTCCTGGGGAGAGAGGACAAATGGGAGGGAGAGGAGGCGCTAACTTCAAGCAGCTCCCTTCTGGGAGCACAGCATCTTCCTGAGGGTGGAGCCAGCTTGGAAGGCAGGGCCTGCAAGGGAGCTGGGGTGCCAATCTACAACTAAAGGAAATTGGGCCCCTCCAGGAATGGACTGAGGCCAACTTCAGTCAGTATGCCAGGTCCAGTGAGCCTGGCCCTCGAGTCTGGAGGTGGGTGCAGCCAGGAGACAGGAGACAGACACACAACAGGAACTTGGAGGGTCTCTCTGGGATACAATTAGAGCCGTAGGACACGTGTAAATAAGAGGAAGTGAGGGAACTGTGATCAGTGGGCTCTGGGTAGTCCCACATTACAACAAAATCCTCATCTCCAAGGTCTGTCATTGCCTGAAAGTTTGCTATCATTTCACCTTCAAAGAGTAAGCCATACTGGAAAAGACAGGGAAGGGACACATTTTTAGGGTGGATGAGTTCTCTGAGAACTCTGTTCTGCTGGCGGGAAGATTCTAGGTGCCTTGGAATGAGGGGTTATAGGCAAGAAAGGTGGGGGTGTACCCAGGGCAAATGCAGGTTCTGTGGGTGAGGTGCAGTCTTAGGTATCTGGGTGCCATGGGCACCTAGGTCACAATATGATATGGGCATGTGTGTGGTGGCCTTGGTATATCATGGTGACCACACTGTGATGTGATGTCCCAGGGTCATTGTGTGTTCTTGTGTGGTTTGATCATGCTGTGTGTAAGATGGCCTGTATGGTTCCTAATGTATGTCTGTCATGTTTTTCCCCGGTCAGTCACATTTGTATATGTTTGTATTAAGAAGTACGAGGTCAAAGTGTGTATGTCTGTGTGTGTGTGTGTGCATGTGTTGGGAGGCCACTGGGTATGAATGAGGTACTAGGTATCAAACGGTCCTTGTGCGGCATCCATCACTCTGATTTATCATACTATGTATACACACCTGTCACTGTGTGTGTGTGAGAGAGGCAGGCAGCCCCCGGGTTGGACATCACCCTCAGAGGTCCAGCTGTAGCACTGGAGCCAAGGACACTGGGTCAACAAAGACTGAGGCCAATGCTACTTCCTCCCCCCGCTCCCCCGGCCACCTCTCTGTTCCCAGCTGTGTCCCTTTATACAAGGTGCGGAACCACCTTGGTGGACTTTCCATGCCGGTGAAACCCACTGGGCCCCAGCGACTCCCCTAACCAGCCCCAGCTACTCTCACCATTACACCCACCCCCCATTTTCCCCCAACACCCGCCCCCAGCCAGGGTTGATTTGTGATGGTGGGGAGGGTACAGGGAACAGAGGGACAGTGGGGTTAATGTACCTTCCTGGGGTCTTCTCTCTTCCCAGGCCACCCTCCAGGGCCCACTAAAAAAGCGCTGAAGCAGCGGTTCCTCAAGCTGCTGCCTTGCTGCGGGCCCCAAGCCCTGCCCTCAGTCAGTGAAAGCAAGTGCCTCTCCTGTGCTTCCGGGGGTGGGGCCCGTATGTGTCGGGGTGTGACCGGTGTGAGGGGAGCCGGCCTGCGTGAGTGTGTGTGGGCGTGACCAATGTGGCGGAGGTGGGCTGGGCACTGACCAGGAGTGTGAGGGGGGCATAGCTACCAGCGCAGAGCGGAATGTGTGGGCGTGGTCAGTTTGGAGGCGGGGCCTGAGTGTGTGGGCCGTCTGGGTGTGCGAAATGGGCAGGATCTGGGTGTTTGGGCGTGGTCAGTGTGACAGGCTGAGGCCACTCTGAGCCTGTGTGAGTGTGGACAGTGTGGCCAGTGTGGCAGGGGTGGGACCAGGCGGCTGTGAGGGTCTGTGCGTGGCTTAGCTGGGGTTAATGTCTGGCCGCCCTCCCCGCCCCGGGCATGTTTTGGGCCTTGAGATGTAGGTCACCAGTGCCTTGACTAGATGGATGTAAGTGTAATGATGGAGCCTGCCTTCCTCCAGATGCCAGGATACTTGAGTTTCCTAGTACCAGCCTGGTCCCCAGTTGAGTGACCTCGCTTTGTCTGTAGGCCTCAGTTTCCTCATTTGGGCTTTGCCCACCTCACAGGATTATACATACTGCATCTTTGCAAGCTATAAAGGCCCGGTTTGTACTCATTATTTGAGAAGGTCGTTGTGTTTGATTCTGCTGGGTCCCACAATGGGGGTCGATTCGGAAAAAGGGCAGGGGGATGTGCGCGGGGTCCGATTCGTGTGTGTCTGTGCTCATTCGTTACGTGTGCCTCTGTGCGCGTGGGGGGCTGGGGTGTGTGCACTGTAACACGCAGGTCTGTGAGATTTGCTGTGAGTGTGAGGGGCGAGGTGTGTGCAGCTGGCCGGGTCCTCCGCTTTCTCGGTGACAGTTCGCTCCCTTCACCATTAGCCGCCCCAGCCTCCCTCCGCCCCCACAGACCCCGCCCGCTGGACCCAGGTGACTTACTCTCCTGGTGGGGGCGGGGGCGGGGGACTTCGGGAGCCTGGGGTGGGGGCACCTGCCTGGGGAATGGATGTTGGGAACAGGGGCGGGGCTGATACGGGGCCAGGGGTGGTGGCCTTCTCTAAGGCACACTAGTGCTGGGGCAGGAGTGGGGTGTGGAGGGGGCTTGGCTGGAGCTGGGTGGGGCATGGCTCGGGCATGGCTGGGATAGGCGGGGCTTGGCTGGAGGAAAGGATCTGGGCGGGGCAAGGGTGAGACCGGGCGGATCTGAGTTGGTAAGGGGAGGCCCAGAGCTCGAACCCTCAGAAGCCCCCTCTCCAACCCAATTTTCCTACTCCTGGCCTTCTGGGACGAAGACTGGGCTGGGGGCCTTCCCCTCCAACCATGGATCAAGGGCCCAGGGGCCAGCGCTGACTCAGACCCCGGGCTCTGGGGCCAGGCCTGGCCTTGGCCTGGGCCCGCTGATATACCTCGAAGCCGACCAGCATCTTCTTTCCTTGCCTTGATGTCCTTGGCTCTGGGTCCAGGGAACTGGCAGGCTGGTCTCCGGCGTTGGATATGGGGGGGATGGATGGTTCAGTGATTTTGAAGAGGGGTCGTGGGGGACAGGCCTGAGGCGCGGCTGTCCCCCCCAACCGCCCCCACCCCGCAGACAGCGTGGAGGATGAGTTTGAACTGTCCACCGTGTGTCACCGGCCCGAGGGTCTGGAGCAGCTGCAGGAGCAAACCAAGTTCACGCGCAAAGAGCTGCAGGTCCTGTACCGGGGTTTCAAAAACGTGAGTGCAAAGCTGAACCAAACTGGGGAGGGGCAGGGCCTATCCAGGACTTTTCTGAAAGGTTGGCCTGGAGGCTTTGAGGAGTGACAGGGGAGGGGAGGAGAAGGGACAGCTCCCCTTCCACCACAGACCGAACTTCTAGGTAGGGGTTC